GGGGCCTCGTTGAAACGCACTGAAAGAAAACGACGGCTTCGTGGTCAGATAATAGACTTCCTTCATCTCCATGTCCAATCCCTCTTTTTCTTTCTCTACATAATGCTTTGACACTCCTAACAATAAAATCGACCTGTCAGCTTGAACTTCACTCGCCGTATCTACTCTGTCAAAGTTAAGCGACACTACTTAATGCTTTATCTACTACCTCTTATTTTTTTCACGTTGAGACATTTGCAAAAGTTGGACGGCAGGCCGGATTCGAACTCGCGATTACCCTTATCGGGGCTCACCTGTTACCCACTGCACCAGTGAGTTTAAACTTCTTCAAATTAATTAAATCCTCTTATGATTTTTCAAAAACGTAGTCTTACCATCAATTCGGTATCAAACTTCTTTTAGAATTAGGGACGCTCAGACATTAACTTTTCAACACTATACTTCTTCTAATGTCATTTCTCTCTATGCACATGAATCTCCGTCAATTCCTTTTTTGTCTTTCGTATGCGAATATGTCAACTAACGGTTAAACAGTGGGAGTGGTGTGGCTGATTACGACGAAGTCGCTGGTGCATCACCGCCCCGGATCCACCAGGCCTCCTATCTCTTCGGGGCTGGGGAGACTTGCATAGGAGCCAGCTCACTCCCTGTGATGCACGTGGAAACGCTCTAGCACGGCTATCCCAGACCTCCATTGCTAATCAGCTCGACCAGCAGCTAACTAACTTCATAACGAAGAAATCCTCAAGCTCCAAAATGAGAACACAGTAGCCTACCGATGTATTGAGCCAGTGGTTCTATCCTCCCAGACAAATCTAATACCAATTTGTTGACCCCCGGAGAGATGAAAGGCTTGCAGGAGGCAGGAGCGTGGGGATCTACCTTGTGTGTATCGCATGGCACCTCCGACCATTGCGCTACATGCGTCCAAATGATTTTCATTGTATTTGAGCAGACCACCGTTAATGAATTTTCTCCATATTGATATTTCTATAGCGAGTGGGAAATTAGGCCCACGTGAAGTTCTAAAAAAAGAATCTGGAAAAACGTGGGCTTCACGGAATCACAGTTTCATCTTGGTAGAAAAGACGAGATTTTTTCTACACGACCCATCTTTCATGTTTACTCTTCAAATCCCAGCAGTCCTTGCAATGAACTGCTTTCCTCGCTTCCATTATAAACGAAGATCTTACAACTTTTTACGCATGGCTTCGACTGATACTTGAGGACTTCTCTCTCTTCATGAGCGTCGTTGAACGCTGGTGGAGTCAATTCTCCCTAGGTCATCAATTTCTCGACCTCTGAGGAACGAGAGGATTGCTCAGCTCGGAGCAAGTTCGAACCCACTCTAGACTCACAACGATACCTGATAATGAAAAGAAATTGCGTTTTAGACCAAAGATTTGTAAAATTAAATGTTTTTATATGAAATGCTGAGATATTTGCAGAACTCCGGACCACAGGTGTATGCACTGGAGAACGAACACGCTCTGTTGTCCTTACCGGGGAGCAGCGCACTTCACCACTACACCATCCGGGTCCTTCGCTTTGCGTGTATCTCAGCTAGTTCTATCGATCTTTTTTGCCATCAGCAATAAATGTTTTTATTCACTTCACACATCGCTCGTCCTTGATCTTCTACACCCTATTTGATCTATCGGTCATTTTTTTCATTCTTACTCTCATTTCTGACTTCAGGTTTAATACTGTCCCCAAATGAACTAATTGGAAGACCGAACATAGCAACCGTTGTCGAGAAGATACCTGCCTCGGATCCATACCGTAATGAGGACCTAGAAACACCCTTGCAAAGTTAACTCAGGGATCCGAGGAAGATAGAATTGCTCAGCTAGAGAGAGGCCAGACTCAATACACCGCACACTGCGTGCTTCCGTCGCTTACTTCCGGCAGTGGGACGACAGGTAAGATCTGAATCTGACGAACACATACATGACAAGCCAAGGAGGAAAATTTAGATTGGGAGGAAGAGACAGGAGCGGAAACGCTGTTGCGAGATTCCTACCTGCAAGAAGTCTCTTCTAGGGCAACTTATCAAGAATTAAAACCGCCGCTGGACATGGCAGTCTCCTAATGGTTCGACTTATGAGAAGGTTGACCATACTCTGACAAGTTGAAGATAGTGCCTACTTTACACATCGGTAGTCCTATTATTTTGTACTACTTTACATCACTGCCTCCTTCCCGCGAAGAATCGATACAACTGTAAGGTCGAAAAGAATTCATGTCGTCGACCACGAATGAGAAATCTAGTAGCTGTACACGCCGAGAACATTCTGAGTGAAATCCTGGTTAGACGTGACCGGCAGATTAAGAATGACCTGATCGAATGGAATACGAGTTGCTTGTAGAAAGACTTCAAAGTTGTGCCGAATTCGCCTCACTTCCTCAACTAGAAAGATCGGATTGCATCTGCATTACCATTGAGTTGTCCAAGAAGGAAAGGAAACTTAGGCTTGATTCCAATAAAACACGTTTAACACGGCTAGTAATAAATGCCAGCCGTAGTGAAGTTTGCAGAAAGATCTACATCGGTGCAAGCAGAAAAAGCTATTAGAAACAGTACAAAAAAGACCAGTCTGAAAAAATGTCGACCGTAGTTGTGTGATAATATTGTTCCGCTGTTAGCTTTAATAAACGAAGGTGGAAACACTAAAACCCCACGATATGATACGGAATTAATAACGGGGAAGTTCTACACCAACCTTTCCTGTTCCACAGTCCCCGTCCCAGACACAATAATTTCCTCTGGAGAAAAAGCACCTTGAATTCCTCTCAGGTTCGAGTTGTGACAAAAAGCATGGAAAAAGGCACAGCTCCAGAACCCAGTGATATCACCGTTGACATTCTTAGAGCTGTACGCCACAATTTACATGAACTTATCGCAACCTATATGACATCCCATGCTTGACGAAGAAATCCCAGACCAGAGGAGGACACCGGATACGGTAATCCTGCCCAAGGCATTCGACCAATGGGATCTTCGTACCTATCGTCCGATATGCATGTTGAGTGTACTCTACAAATGCTTCAACCAGAATAACCGATGGCGCATATCGAGGAGATTGGATAAGGCGGAACCAATTCAGCAAGCAGGATTTCGAAAGGGATTTTGCTCTGTGGACCACATCGACATCGTGTCCTGGGTCACTGAATTTTGTCCTGAATATTACTTACTTTTACTCCTGAATCTTGCCAACTATAATAAATCGTTTGAAGGTGTCGAGATGACATCAACCCTACCAGCGCTCTTCGACCAAGAAGTGAACCCGATATACAAAGAACCCTGAGTGCTGTTGAAACTGCATTACGAAAATGCAGCTCTCCCGTCGACCTCTTGCCATACACATAAGAAAAGAGGTTCGAAGGCAACACCATGTCGCCAAAGGTTTTTAGTGTCGTACAGCAGTGGATAATGAAGTCACTCTACTGCGAAGAGAAAGGGATACGTATTAATGAAAATTGCTATCAAATCCTCGTTTCGTCGCCAAAATTGTCATTTTCTAAAGAAGTAAACACAGACGATGATCAATGAGCTTAACTAAGCGGGAAAAAAGACCGGACTACACATAAATTGGAAGAAGACGCAGTCCATGAAAAACTTATGATGCGAAGACGATCAGATTAAACTGGATAATTTTCTGACTGCAGAGACCAGCTCGTACGTATACCTTACACCTTTGATGAACATGGAGAACAACATGAAGGAGTAATCACAAAGAACGGATGCAGCTTGAGCCGCATTCGCGCCTCTTGAAGAAGACAGCGATCAACTAAAGGACACGAAAATCCACGCCCACCTCTTCTACGCAACAATCTTCTCGGCGCACTGCTCTGCAGAAGAGACGTGGGTTGATAGTTCAACAATGTCATGAATACTGCAGACTAGTCACAGAACGCTTGAACAATGTCTTCTAAAATATGGCCAGCACACAAAACATCTCGCCGAAATGCGAAGCTCCGATCTTCGCAGTCCATCTTCACGACTGCAATGGTAAAGCTCTCATGAACACGATTGGGCCCTATTGTTGTCCCAACCGCCTCGATAGATTACAGTTTAAGGACAGCGATAAGAGTATATGAAATCAAGGGCTCTAGATGAAAGTATGTCAATTTTGGCAAATAATGTCCACGTTCTCATCGCTGTATCCCTCGCTCTAATCTTACATGAGGCGTGTCCTTTAATACACTAATTCCCCACGTCCACGTTCATATCGGTGCTCAAATGAAGATGTTCTGCTACTTCGATTTTAATGTAGTTTAAATGATTAACGTTTTGGTATGAAGTATGCACTTTATGTTTGTTGGTAACAAGATGTTTTCTGTCGAAGTGTCATTTTTTATGTCTCCTATTCGCTAATGAACTTGTACGTGATAGTTGAATAATCCGTCTTCATTGGTTGTGTGAGCTCCAGCAAAATTTCCATTTTCCGGTGTTCTGCTGGTTTAGTTTAGCCATTGTGGTTTCCTAGAACCCCGAGGTCAGCCTGGCCAAGGCTTTCCCAAGGTCGTCATCACCACAGGCAGTCGCCGCCCTTGTGGATTAGGGGAAAATCTGCCACCATGCGACTAGTTTGATAACAGAACCGTGGCGGATCCAGGTATTCGTTTACTCTTAGTTGGGTTTCCTGATGGAAGCGCTGGACTTATTAGCTTGGCAGACCCTGCCAGTGGATGTATCCCCCACCTGTACATCGCAGCCCGACACCCATTAATTCCGCTCAACCACGATGAGGTAGTAATCCGTTGAGAGGAATAACCTTAAAGCATTCATTTACGAAAAAGAACTCTATAAATTGAATTATTACTGCTGGATATCCTAGTGACAAGATTCTGTTGGCTTAGTAAGAAATCGTCAAGAGTGTTCCGTTTGAATGTCTTGTGGTGCCTATTAGATTCATGTTACGCCTCTATAGAATCCATATATTTTCAGTTGTGTGTTTAATTCTTGTGGTGATAAGTCGTATTTTTCGTCGTTCAGAATGGCTAATCTGAAGGTTTTCTACTTTGTAATAGTCGGCCATAACGATCAGCCTCTGTTCGAGATGGATTTTCCACTTGGAGACAAGAAGGTTCGTGAGATCGAAAACCGGTTGGTGAAACATTTTTTGCATGTAAAGTTTTTGATATATCTTACGACAGTCTTTGAGTTAATAGTTTTTATACTTACCTTTTAAAGTAGGACATTTCCAGGTATTTAAACCAGTTCATTGCCCATGCTGCTCTTGATATTGTTGATGAGCAGGCCTTAACCAATAACAACATGTATCTTAAGGTAGGCTTACGCTGAATTTCTTATGCTGCATAACTTCCATCAACACATTGTGAAATTAATCGTAACATTAACACATTCCCTCCAGCGGTTTACCTCCTCATCGTGGCTGGGAGGTGTTCCTGGGTGTCGGTCTGTAATATACAGCGGGGCACTCATCCTCCGACAGGGTTTCCCAAGCTGATAAAAAGTCCGGCGTTTCTATCAGGAAGCCTGGTTAAGGGTGAACCAATATCAGGAACTACCACCGTCGTGGTATGAAACTGTTCGGATGGTGGCAAATCTCCCTCTGATCTACAAGGGAGGTGAGTGCCTGTGGTGGTGACGATCTCGGGCAGACTTTGGCCAGGCAGACCTCGGGACTCTAAGGAAACACAATGGCTAAACCAGCAAAACTCTGGAAAATGGAGATTAGGCTGGTGGCCGCACAACCAGTGAGGACGGGCGGTCCAAATATCCAAGTAAGTAAGTAAGTATGTTAACACATTTGCTTACAGATTGTGGATAAGTTCAATGAGTGGTTTGTATCTGCTTTTGTTTCTGCTGGACGTATCCGTTTTCTCATGCTCCACACACAACGATGTGATGAAGGAATTCGACAGTTCTTCCAGGTTTGTTACTATGCAAGTTACTACAAATTGAGTAGATATGCGCATTTCTCGGTTTTCTGATAGTAGAGCACCCAGATCGCGTAGAAAAAATTTTGGTTCTTATGGTTAGAACTTTTAAGAATTTAGTTTTCGAATATTACTACATTGTCCAGTCATAGTTCTACATCCTCCCAACGGCTTACCGCCGCATCGTGGCTGGGAGGTGTTCCTGGGTATCGGGATGCGATCTACAGCGGGAGCATTCATCCGTCTTCCAAGCTGAGTCTGACGTTTCCACCAGGAAGCCCAGCTAGGAATAAACCAATACCAAGATCCACCATTGTGATCCACGAGAGCGGCGGTTGCCTATGGTAGTGACGTCCTGAGGCAGACTTTTGCCTGGCTGACCTAGGGACTTCAGGGAACCACAGTGGCTAAACCAGCGAAACTCCGAAACAGGGTAATTATACTGAGGCCCGCACACTGTAGATGGGCCATCCAAGCATCCATATAAATAAGTTCTTCTACACTGAAACTCATAAGAACTTCTCAACTTTTTGTTTTGTGTGGTAAACATAGTAAGCATTGTCCAGCTATGGTTTAACAACTTTGAAATGATTATTTGTCACTATACATTTTTCTTATTATCGTAACTGTTGGTCTGTTGACATTATAGATATATGAAGCAATCCTTTAGAAAAGTACTATTTCGCTCCCTCTTTCTCGTAAACCATTTCCTTTGTGTGTAAACTCAGTTTTTTCTGCTCTTTGTTATCAGTTATCAAAAACTAACTGATCCATTTATTTCTCCAAATCTAGTAATTTGTCCATTTCAGTGTTTTCATTTTAGGAGATGTACGAAACCTACATAAAATATTCGATGAACCCCTTCTATACAATCGATTCAATGATAAAATCTCACTCGTTCGAGCAGAAAGCTGCGCTTTATGGACGAAAGTACCTGACTTAATACTCTTTCAGTTGTTATTGGCATCTGATTACGGGTCAAGTGTGTATGGTTCAATAAATGAATTACAATAATTTTTACTTTCATAATGCTTTTTTCAATGAAATATCTTATTTTTACACAAGACGATACTTATGTTGCCCATGTTCGAATGTCTTATGGAATCCGGCATTTTTTTGTTCATTTTATTGACTTACATATATAAGATAGAGGTGTTCAGCTTCTTCTAGAGGGTTTGAATGTTGATTGTAGTTGTAAATACACCTAACTCAAGCATGTATAGTCTTAAATCTTCTAGCGGGTCTTGCTCGAGGTTTTTTTGGTTCTGTTATAATCGTTCAGTTACCAAATTCGTTGAAAGAAAGAAGAACGTTGGAGATACATGGGATGATGATGATACGATGTAGCTTGTTGCGACTAGAGCATATTTTATTCGTTCGTGAATCTACTGACGGATCTGTAACTTGAGACCATAAATTGGTTCATGCGTACATAGTAATGTTAACATTTATGACCGGTTTAGTAAAACTTCGGTCCAGTACTACTTTCAGAAACTACTGCTCCATCTTTGGATTTTAAACCTTTCTTAATAATGATATGGCTAAGTCACTCATGCTTCTCCATATTTCGAAAGCTGAAATCCCAAAGGACTGTCATTTCCATGATCGGCTGTTATCGAAGTAGAAGGTGTTATCTGCAAACATGAATAACGAGGTTTGCCGTCTTGACGATCTACTGGTTTAACAATATCAAGCTGGCGCAAAGTGCCTGAACTGGTGGTGTGCTTATCAGTATGACATGAGTCGGTGTCATTTATACGGGTGCTAATAAATAAGCAAGTGTACTAATTTCAAGTGGTCTACGTTGGTCTTTCTTTTTAAATAAAGTAGTACCAATTGCTACCAACAGCAAAAAAATGATTATGACCTTCATTGGGTACCGGTTTATATTGTTTAGTTTGTCAGGGTCCTGTGACCAAACCGACGACGAGTGTGGTGCAGTGGTCTGAGGCACCCTCCGACACACATGAGATCGATTGCCGCGCCGTTAGCTCACCAAGCCTTCCATCCCTCCGGAGTTGGCAAATTGGTACCAGGCTTGTCTGCGGGAATTGCAGCACTGGCTCGACACATGGGTAGGCAACCGCGAGTCGTTGTAAAGGCCAGACATGCATCCACCCATCTCCATTGATGCTTAATGAAGTCGAATGCATGGCGCATCCCTCTGGGATTGATCAACGCTAAGAAGTTTGTCCTTTATTTTATGCTCAGATCAGTACTGGCGTCGTATACATCTTTTTCGGTTATAACGCACCGTCGCCTAATTTTTGAATAATTGTTGTGTTCCATTGACCATGGGGTTTCATCACTACTCCCTATTTTATTCCTGTCACATATCCGCTTAACAGAAAGGTCTTATTCGCTTCGAATAGTTATGAATGGTGCTGGTCTTATTCTTTCTTATCGAGTTCCCTACTATTGTTTTAGAAGTTATTTACGACTAGAAGTCTCTCCGTTTAATTATGGTTAAGTGTGATAGCCTGATATATAACCAGTGATAACAGTTTCTTCGTTAGAGTCTACGATACGCGTTTTGGATCTCGAAACTCGACTAATCCAATGTTACAAAGAATATTTTTGTCCCATATTGACGGTAAACTGCCTAACATGTCTACTGGCTAGTTGTTTAAGTGAGTTATAGGTAAGTTTGCTCACAGTGTTTGGAATTGGTTTTTGACAAGCACGAGTAGATCGGGGATGTAAGATTTTTCGTAGCAAAGTCACTTCGGTCGTCCTTGATGCATGTTAGCGTTTCTACCCTGCCCGCGAGACAATAAACATAACGCTTTTCTTGTTCTGTCGTTTATTTTCACTAATATACGCGAAAGGATATCTATGAGTTATTCGTCTGGGTGCGCTGTGAAGGTGGCTATACACTGCGTGACTGCATGTCTTTGGTCGAAGTGTCAACATTCCCAATCACTTGAGTGCATGTTTCTGGCTGAGCTGATTTGAAGGGTGCAATCCATTGCAGGGCGCGTGCGGCGCAATGGTCGGAGGCGCCCCGCGATACACACGTGGGATCGATCCCCGCTCCCATGGCCCACCAAGCCTTCCATCTCTTTGGGGTCGGCAAATTGGTACCGGACTTGTCTGGGTGGATAACAGCACTGGCTCAATACATCAGTGGGCCACCGCAGGTCATTTTAAAGGCCAGATATGCATTCAATCACCTCAAAACGATGCTTAATGAAGTCGAATGCAGGGCGCATCCCTGGTGGATTGATCAACGCTGAGAGCCTTATTCTTTTATCCTTTAATCTATCGCATACAGATAAACAAAATAACCCATGGATACGATTTCGAGGATATGGAACTTATAGGTCCAATTGCTGCATTAAAGAGTGGTAGCTTATTCTCTGAACCCATCCATATGGAAATGCACTACGGGATTGCCATCAGTCGGCTTCTAGCCACGTGTCACTGTGCACGGGCGCACCACGTCACTGACCATTCTGTGAGAGCCCACATGGGAACGTGCGTGAATTGATTCTGCAGTGGTTTCATCTGATAACATAACGTTCTGTATTCGAAACCAAACATCCCAGTATATTCGAGTCTGCACAAAATACGCTTTATAGTGTGCGAGTACAAAAATCAACTGATAATGCTACTAAAGAAACGGCTACTATAAATCTATTAGCCCAAAATCTCACAGACCAATGCTGTTTAACTTAACGATTCTTCGATGCAGTTCTCACGATAATAAAGGATAGGGTTCTCGATGTTGATCAACCCTTGAGGTATGCACTATGCATTCGACATCACTAAGCATCGTTTGGACGTGACTGAATGCATATCTGGTCTTTACAATGACTCGCGGTGGGCTACCAATGTATCGAGCCAGTGCTGCTATCCTCCCAGACAAGTATAGCACCAATTTCCCGACGCCGGAGGGATGGAAAGCTTTGTGGGTCTGGGGCGTGGTGATCGATCGTGTATGTAATGCAGGGCGCCTCCGACCACCGCGCTACGCGCGCCTGTGTTCTCACTATACCCATTTCAAATTTGTCTCATGTGGTTAGTTTGTTACCAACTAGCTAGTTAATTTAATTATTTATCTAGTTATATCCCTTAGTGCTACATCGCTATCGAAGACAGTCGAAGGATTTCTGTTCGTTATGGTTTTTATAAGAGATTATGGTAATAGGAATCATTTCATACCGACGCCAAATGCCCCAAAAAATATTGGGCAAATACGTGACCACCTCCGCAAGGGGTTGGTTAGACGACAGTCAACGGGAGGACACGTGAACAGACACGATAATGGTAATAATAACAGTGCTAGCAATAATAATTGTTATTGTTGTAATTACTACTGTCATTGCCACAGTTGCTGTAATTATTGATTATTATTCTCGCTATTACTGTTAGGATTACTACCCACCAATAGTTCAGCATCATCGTAGCTGTGGAAGGAATGTACCTCGACGTCGAACTGCAAAGGGAAAAGTTTATCACTTATCCAACAGTCTCCCCAGCTAAGATGGAGTCCAAGGTTTCAATCCAGTTGTTCAGAGTAGAGTAACCCAGTACAGTGAATCATTGCCATCCTCTAATAAAATAGTCACTAACTAGAAAGTGTTGACAAGTTACGAAAGCCCAAGTACAGCTTTTGATACTCCAGAGAAGAGAAATCCTTGCTGAGCGGACAAATTACTGGATAAGTGGGTATTCTGATGGATGCCTCACAGTTCTTCGTGATTCGTGAGGAGGATTCATTGACTCCACTGTTCATATCATGTGAGTGAGTTTAGGGGAATTTCGCTACTTTCACTAGTCCTTCTCATTTCCGTGTTAGGATATAGGTCGTATCAAAAATATGCTATATGTCGATGATCCTGTCTTGGTGATCAAAAACATTGCTATATGGATGGTCAAAACATACTGAGCTGTTAAAAGACTTTATGTCAAAGATAAAACATTTCCGACTGCCACAGCGTTTCTGTTACTGTTCTCATCGTGCACCGACAGCTGCTAGAGCCACAATTTCTACCATTTCTGGAATATATATGTGCGACCAAAAGCAACATTTGCATAGGTGTAGACTGCATCGTAGAAATTCGGTATACTAGGTCCGTATAAAAGGATAAAGGAAAAAGCTCTCCGCGTTGATCAATCCCGGAAAGATGTGCAATGCATCCGACTTCATTAAGCATCGTTGGAGATGACTGAATGCATGTGTGGCCTTTACAATAACTCGTGGTGGCCTACCGATGTATCAAGTCAGTGCTGCTATCGCACTAGACAAGTGTGGTACCAGTTTCCCCACCGTGGAGTAAAGGAAAGCTTAGCGAACCTAGGTGCGGGATCGATCCCATGTGTGCACTGCAGGGCGCCTCCGACCACTGCGCTACACGCGCCCAATTAGTTCCGTATATAACGTGCTATTCTCAATGAAATGACCGTACACCGCTTTCGTGCTGTTTGATGGTCGTGTGTCTTCCATCGTTGAGTTTGCACTTCTCCGAATTGCATCACATCAGTTTTGTCCACAATCCAAGAAGGTATTGATTTTTCATGTCGAGGTTAAATGACGGTCGGTTTAAAAAATATTGATTCTCAATGTGCTAGCTAGTACGATGCCGACCGCTACATTGCCCGCCCATAGCAGATCATATTTGACGGCGGCGGTAGATCAACATGCTAATCAATATTACACCGACCGCTACAGAATGCATTGCCCGCTTATATTAGGCCATACTGGGCGGCGGCAGTAGATCAACATGCGTCCCGTATAAAAGGAACATCTAACTGGTCGCTTGGGAGAGCACCGTGCGGTATTTCACTTGGTAACGAGCGTTCTTCATCACGTATGGTGTAGGCAGATCTCGTCCGTCATCTACTGGCCGTCCAGCAGTGCATCGACAAGACTCGGCTGATGCAGGAGTGTCCTCTGCACCACACGTCACCACTCGCCTCCGATTGGCCCTGTCTCCCTCCCATGGGCGGTGCCTGTCTGAGTCATCGTCGTGCTGTGTTTCGCAATCGTCCTGGCAGTGCAGCCGGCCGAGTATCGCTCCAACTGGGTTGCAGCCACGTCCCCTTCCCGAGTAATAAGTGTTACCCATCCGTTGTGTTCACAGTTCTCGAGATCGGTCATCTTTTTTTTTGCGTGTTTTTGACTGCAGAACGTTGATTGCATGAGATCGCGAGTATCTCGAAGCTTCCTGATGTTTCAGGGTTGGCAATGACAATGCGAGAGCAGAAGCCCGACTCTACGCAGTTATTTCCCTCTGACTCAGACCTTTTTTGCTTCCCTGGCTGTCGCATTCCCTCTGAACAGAAGAACGGTTACATTGCGAAGGTATTTCGGGGCTTGTTCGTCCAGATTGCTAGTCATTCAACCCGTACATGTACAACGTGGTGTGGTGACGGTAATGTTTCAGATGGAAGGCGATTTTCGATCTGAAAGTGGTGATCGTGGTGCTGCGAACGTGAGTCAGCTGGAGATGCATCTTCCGTGCTTCAATGCAAGCCAGATCTTCGAACGGCAGGTATCTTTTAGTTGAAATATTGATTCGGTGTGTGGTGGTGTTGTGCTGTTTTCTTATCTATATATCGGTTGTTATTCCTATAAAGTCAGTGATCCCATAGGTCTAATTCCGAGTAAAAGTGCAGCTTAGTTTGAGTGATTGGCAACAGGTAAGCGAGACCTGTAGGGAAAATAATCCGACGGGGTAAATGCGGAGTAGAGCGCAGACCACTGGGATCGTCGTCAATGAAACTGACAAAGAGTACATTGCCACCCATTATACACAACATCACTCTGGATCAATTTTGTGAATCCGAGATATGCCAGCAACGCTTGAACTGGCTGAGCTCATCTTACGACAGCATTTTTTTCCGTTGTGTCTTATATGTGAATACCGGGCCAGAGATTTACTAGCAGAAGCCTTAGAGGAGAGTTATTATTGGAAATGTATTAAGAGGTAGCGACAGCTGGCCGTTTTTTAGGATTCTCTGGCTCGCGCCGCTACCCTTCAGGAATGCGATCGAACTAGGGATCCCGATGGAATTCTAGATTTTCTTGAGACTACCATGAATATTGAGGATTATCTAGAAGATATAAATTCGGTAAATCTAGCATTCAACAGGTTTTTGAAGACAGGTTCCTTCTACTTGCCTAAAATCTTTGTCTGTTATAGATTGAAATTCCTGCGGATGATATCGACTTTGAGGACTTTGAGTTGCAGAAATGCAAAGATGGCCACATGCCAACAAATGATACAGACGACTCGTTTTCTCACAATGATTGCATTTCTGAACATCTCTTTTCGACAGCTTTTAGTATCTTTTCTGATCCATTATTTGTACAGTTCGACCTTCTTTGATGTTTTCTTTTAAGTACGTAAAACTCCTGAGGTCAAGCCTGCTGCATCCGAAATCAAGCTTGAGCCTGAATGGGAAGGTGAGATTTCGCGTAATCCGCTCTTTCACTGATATACTTTATGTTTGTGAGTTCTAGATAATTGTCCATCGACTTCATCGACCCGTACGTCGAAGAGGGAAAGAAGAAATGTGAAGGTCCCGGAAATATATACACCAACTCGTCCTCCCCGTAAATATACGTTGAAAACACCACAAGAGCGAAACAACACTTCATATAAAGTCAAGCGTCAAAGGAATAATGATGCCGTTAGAAAGAGCCGTACAAAAGTAGGTATATTTTTATTCTTCGATTGATCCCACTGTCAAGTTGGCTTATCTTAGGCGAAACAGTTGCAATTAATGAAGGAAAAGCAGTTAGAGGAAGCGCTTCAGGAAGTCAGTGAGCTCAAGGAAAAGCTTCGTGTCCTCTGTGAGCGGCTCTCGCACTGTCGCTGCCGGATCTGATTCCTTTCACCATTCAGTGGGGTTTATTTGGTTATCGCTGCTTTATACTGTGTTGTTATGGCTTTGATGTCATGGATTTGAATCAGATTAGACGTTTTGTTAGATATTTTAATGTTAAGCTATGTACAGTGTATCGCATTTTGCTTGCAAAGCTACCTGATGTATGGTCAGCTTTCGACTTCGCAACGTGTAATGTGTACCACTTTTGTAGTAGCTCAGGTTAAAGTTAAGCGTTTTTCTCCTATGTGGTCGGACCCTAATGGAAATCATAACTATAGGATGTTCTCCAAATACGTGTAATTGATGACTACCGTGTTACCTTGATGTGCTTGGATGGATAAAGATAACATTATAAGTCAGTGTTTTATTCTTGAGCAGAGTTGTCAGTGCTGACGTTTCGGTCATTTCGCCTTTTTCAGAGCCTGAAAGGACCAGGACGACATGCAGCCTAATCGGCTAATTACTTTCATAATCCAAGCAAAAAATGTATAGCAATAGAACAGTGCTTAGGTTAATAGCAAGTGTCCTGCCAATTGCTATTTAATAACATTGTAGTTCGTTCACATATTCATCCGTCTGCACATGCATATTTTATTATTGTTATTACCAAGACGACTATCACGCATCGCACTGTGGCGATACCAGCACTACGTGCATTTGAATCGTTCCTCATGTCCACCATTGATGAGGGTCCTCGAACGTCTTTTGCTTATGCATTTGGCTGCGGCCTGAGGATCTTCTTATTTTCGTGGAGAATATCGTTGAGTTTTGTGTCGAATAGAGCTCCCATAGAATAGCGATGCTAGGAAGTTCTAACGTGGCTTAGGGTGAGTAGGTCTGTCGTAGACAAGCCTACTGCTGACTTCTGCACCCTGGACGGATGAAAGACTTTGTGGGCCTGGAGCGTGGTCTTTAGAACAGAAACAGCAATAACTATAATAATAGTGCGGTTTTCTTGTTCAACAATCGCGAGGTTTTTAAACAGCATACATTTACTTCCATAAAAACAATACAATACAACGCTAGCTGACGTTTCGCAGAGCCTGGAAGGGTATACTGATATACAATCTACTAGGCCAAGCGCTTCAATAACAGAAGGCGATACTGCCGAAACGTCAGCTATCGTTGTATTGTATTGTGTTTTTATGGAAGTAAATGTATGCTGTTTAAAAACCTCGCGATTGCTGAACAAGAAAACGACACATTCATATTCCAATGCCGAGGTTAAGAGAAAGTCGATCCTGGGAACTATAATAATAGTAGTAGGAATGACTAGTTATTTGCGGTATTTTCTAAAGTTTATTGGAGGTAACCTCCCAACGGTTTACCGCCTCATCGTGGTTGGGAGATGCTCCTGGGTATATTATTATATTTGAGTATTCGAAAAGTGGAGAATATGCTGGGGGCCGCGCAACCAGTGAAGACGGGCCGTCCAAACATCTAACTATATATATATATATATATATATATATATATATATATATAATGTAGTTGGATCTGTCTATAGTGAAGTGTTGTGACATAGAGAAAGTAAATATAGTAGACGTCAAAACCAGTAATGCTTAGATATTTGCGAAACAGGACGGCAGTTGTCCGCGGTGGACATTGAACACTCTTTTACCGTTTTCGTGGCTAATGCATTCACTACCCAGATAGATCCTGTCTGAATTTTTGCAAATATCTCAGAACCGTTGTGGTAATATCTCACAACATAACCTGCAACCAAAAGGGAATAGACAGTAAATAAAAAGTGACTACATGGTAGGACCAGTGCCGTATCGATTGATGTGATGCTACCTATGATTGAACGGTGCGAAGATCGCAAGGTTGTGCTATTAGGTGGTGCTACCTTGTCAGGTGGTTCTGGATAGGAATGGATATGGGACAAGCAGGCGAGTCTAATTTAAACTGGTTTGACATATGATAGATTACATGGCAAGTAAGTATTGCTATATCATTAATACAACATGTTCAGATGAAGGGTAGAGAACATTTCGTGGGTAGAGCTCTCTAGCCACTAGTCTTGGAGGCATTGAAATACTAATGAAACAACTAGTTCAGAAGGATAGTCTATGATCCAAAAGTGGCCTGATGATACGGCGAGTGTGTATTGTTCTCTTTTCGTGAAGAAGGATTTGAAGATTCTTTAATTCCTTAACTCCTTACTGAATCATAGGATGTAATCAGAAGTGGTTTCTATGTGGTAGAAAACGGTCCGGCCAATGGTGTCAGCTGACGAGCTTGAGAAGGACGTTGTTAACACCAAAATGTGCGTAACAAAAATGAGCATTACCTGGAAGTCGGTAGCACGATTAATTGATTTTCCATTCGTTTATCAGGCATCATAGTCCAGCCACTCTATCTAAATACAAAAGTGCAGCGAATTCAAGTAGTAGTGCTCAGTCGTAACGGTGCGATGCCAACTGCACCATAACCCAGGCTCAAGTCTGTCACGTATTATTACCGAAAAGCTCGATTAGTCTAGGCATCTCAAAATCAAAATCTCAATGTTACGATCTATAGGCTTCAGGTGACTAAAACTCACCTTATTAACACTTAGAGTGTAAAGAATGTAACTTGAACGGATTTCCATTCATATGAGCTTGTATTGGGCGCGTGCAGCGCAATGGTTAGAAGCGTGCTCACCGTGAGTGTGCTTTGTTTCCAACTCTTGTTTTCGTAACATTCTATTGATGTTACTCAAGCGTATTTGTTTCGAAATCTTTGATTCAAGAAAATTGTAGTTCCTACATATCGTTTACAACTTTTAGAACCTGTAACTTTCATTTTTTGCATAGCCATGTGATCAGCAGCATTCTGCGGATCAAAGCACTTCCTGCATTCGTTTCTGTTCCTCGCATACATCATCCACAAAGGCCTTTATCTTTGTGGTAATTTTCAACTGCTGCTTGAAAATCATTCGCCTTCTTATGAACACCACTGAATACTGGTTGAGTTCATTGTCCCTGAAATCCCTGAGAACCAACCATCTTTTCTGGTTTTGAACAACTTGTTTGCTCTATCACAGTTTGAATTCTCTACGATTTGAAGATGACTCAAAAACATGAGGTGTTCGCCCATTGCCATAACCTGAGACTCAAGACGATGACATGTATAGACTTAATTTTAACTCCAATAACCTTGAAGTTAAACTTTCGCAGTTATTCATTTTTCTTCTTCTTAAAATCACTACGATAAGTCAAAATCTATAGGTCTTTGCCAATAAGACATGACTTTTGTTATTTTACCGAGATGAAATTCTGATTTTCTGTCTTGAGGTTTCATATGTTCTCAGAGTTCGTAAATCGAGTAATGAAGCTGTTGAACAAGCGAGATCTCGTTTGACAGAGCACGATGACATTCCACTAAAACCTTGGATTCATTTTTCCATTTTTCAAAGGTTTGAATTTCAGATAAAGCCTAGAACGGGAACAACACTGAAAAAGTTGTACATACTCTTACTGCAAACTATCGTCTTTTCTCCTACTTTGTTAAGTTCTGAACTCTAGAAACACCTTAGTTATCGAAAAATTAATGAGAGCTCTCGGTAATGCGCGATCGTCCATTGGGGCATATGAAAATCCTATGTTAATCAATAGCTAATAGTTATGTAGTTTGAATCACTTCCATGCGCCATGGACATCATATGGAATAGGCAGATGTAGTAAATACCGATAGATCCCACACATGTGTTTTAAAACTGACTATGTTGGTTTACTGGCATCACTGTGGTTGTATGAGGGACGAAATTTTTCCCCACTCACAAGACTTCGATGTTCTTCAAAAGCATGAAAGAATGCATACAAACCTTGGAGGCTACAAAAACACCGAAATTTCTGACAAAATCTGGAGGTTAACGGGATGTTGTAGCGAAAGGTACGGCAAAATTATGAGGTTAGTTGCTGTCGAGGACTAAGTTGAGCAGCACGTGTTGTTGTCGACTCTTAACGAACGTGGCGAAAAAGTGACGACGACACAGAATTAGCTGTCAGACTTCAAGTGCTAAACATTGAGATGGCCTTCGTAACGATAAAGAGTATAGGAACTATTTCCCAAATAGTTCTTCTTTTCTATAATAGCGTATGTTTCCTGCTCACTTGTAATTATCTTAAATCTTTGCATCTTCTCTATCACAGCTGGCTGGAAAGGGATTCTGTAGCTCCTTTGAATAAACCGCTCTTCTTTGTTCGACAGTTCGGGCACTGAATGAGCTGCAGTCAGCGAATGTACTTTCCAGCATCTACCATTCCAATGAAGTTTCCGTACGAGCAGCTGCGCCCTTTCACATGTAGCTCTATCAGATTGTACTAGTTGGAAAAACTTTTAGAACCTCTCTCTAGGGGCTGTCTCTAGTTTCCTCTGGCAACGCTCCACCCACTACAGAAGTAATGCAAGCAGCCCATCAGCATTCGTGTTCAAGTGTTCGTAGTGTTCGTCCAGTGTTCATCCAGTTTCTTCATCTCGCTCAACTCGTCCATATACTTCGCTCTACTGTTATTGTTGTTATTGTTACTATAATCATAAAAGTTGCAACCCAGTGTCTCAAGCCGTTCGACTCAGCGGCTTACACACAAAATACTCGCGTGGCAACTACAAGGACCAATATTCCGAACTATTTGGTATTCATATAAAGTTGTGAGCTCAACACCACAACAAAGACTCCGAATATTTTCGACTTTTACTAAAGCCTATTCACAATGCGTTGTTTTCTTTCTTAGAAATCGCGAGGTTTTTGTAGAACATTGCTTTACTTCCGTACAAAAATACAGATAACACAACAGTAGTTGACGTTTCGGAAGTATCGCCTTCTTCAGAGCCTGGAAGGATGTATTGACTTGCGGTTTACTAAGCCAAACGCTTTAATAACACATACAGAAAGGTGAAAATCTATGCAATAGTCGCATAGTCAACAGCTTTTCGAAAACCAACCATTTTTACGAATGAGCACTCTGAGTATATCAAGTTCACCCAGGTGAAACCGAAAGAAAACTTGGCTTCCA